AATAATGTTAATACGTATAATAATGTTAATATGTATGTATAATAATGTTAATATGTATCTATATTAATGTTAATATGTACGTATAATAATGTTAATATGTATGTATAATAATGTTAATATGTACGTATAATAATGTTAATATGTATGTATAATAATGTTAATATGTATGTATAATAATGTTAATATGTACGTATAATAATGGTTTAGATTTAACTGAATGACTCCGACGGGTCAGCGGTAATGTTATGGAGCTACAAAGGTAAAATTATTTCAACAGAAAGAAATTATACGGTTAAGATTTCTGAGTGTGTAAATTTTTGTATTAACAACAACTAACTTTTTAACAGCGATGAAAATCCGTCCGTGAGTTTCTCATTCAAAAGCGTTTTTAAGTTGTAAAGGTCCAATCCCACAATTAGATTGGAGCAGCCCAACAGTTGGCGGTGGGTGCTGTTGACTAACTATTTTCCTTCTAGTCTATCGGTAAGGCTAGCGCGGATAGTCATTGTTTAGCTTTGAGAAACAGACCTAATTTAATAATTAAATTAACTAATAAAATACAAAAACACATCCTTATCAAGGAATACTAAATTTCCACAATCGCGAAGTGTACATGTTGACGAAAGAACCGAGGTAACTGTTCACTGTCGCGTTAGGTGGCGTCAATATCACATAATGGCATTTAAAGTTTGTAATCTAAATTCGCGTGAATGAACTAACAACGTTTTCACTTTCCCCGAGGGCTGGACGTTACAAACCATCACTGTTACTTTAATTCTTAATAGACTTCATTTTTTATCATACCAAGCGAAACTCAAACATGTAGAACGTTTCAGGAGACGAACATTTACTGACGTTGTGGGCGAAGCATACTTGAAGAGCTATAGAGCCATGTTAACTTTCAGTGCCAGGTGTTGACGCAGTTTTTAGGAGAATGCTTGAATACTAAAATCTTTAATACCGCCCTGTCAGCCGTTAGGGTGACTATAACACTTAACTCTTTCGAACACAGTTAATTTTTACTTCGGAATGCAGGATGTTTTAATTAAAACGCACATGATCTAAACCATTATTTGACAAAACTCTGTGTGTTCGTGTGTTTGCTTATAATTGGCGAACCGCTGGACCGATTTCCACCAAACCTGGCTTGTATATTCCTAGAGCCCTCCTTCGGAAAGTGACACAGGGAATCGTCGCTCGGTCATGACCCCTATGTTTCCCCTTACATTATATTGGAAGGTCAGCTATAGTTATAATTATCTCCTGATCGAAGCATGTTATTGTATCCCAGCTTACAACGCTAAAAATTGAGTTTCAATACCTGCAATGGACAGAGCACAGATAGCCCATTGTGTAGCTTTGTCTCTAACAGTATACAAACCAAGTATTTGATATAGGTAATTGACTATGCTCTTCTGATTAGGTTTATGCAAAGACATAAAACTTATAATAACTGGAGGACATTGATCCACCAGTTAGGTATAATCACGATGTTAATTATATTTTTGACTATAATCCCAATAATTTAAACATGGCTTCAACAGTCCATCGCAGGAATCGAACGCTAAAATTTAGCGCTATAGACGTATAAGCTTACCCCTGAATCATCGAGACAACCAGAACGTTTTCTCATTTTTCTAAAATAAAGCCTTAATAGTTGTTTGTGAGTGATATATACGTGGGAATGGACTACCCAACACGGGGATCGAAACCCGATTTTTAGTGTTAGAAGCTCTCAGTCTTACCGCTTAGACAGCGAGGGGACCTTCATTTTATTAAACACACAAATTCTTAGTCATTACCAATTAGTTTAAAGTAATATTTAAATATTCCTATAAATCATTTTATATTTTAAGATAGACAGACAGACAGACGTACCATTGATTAGTCGTTTTCTTACTTCCTTCAATAATTCCTTTTCTGATGGCTCCTAAAAATATAAAAAGTAGCTAATCTACAATGTAACAAATATTTGGAAACAATATTTAGGAATATGTTAGAAAAGTCGGTCATATATTTTTTTACATATATATATGTGTGTGTGTGTTATAAACATGCAAGAAGAAAAAAAAGACAAAATTCATGGAGTGGGAACTACAGAATATACTTTATTGATAGAGATTGCTGAGGCTACTTAGACAAACATAAAGTTGGGGTGAATTATGTTAAACGTGTTTAATGATTGGTTTTTTTGTTTATTCATTTGAAGTTAAGCACAAAGCTACACCATGGGCTATCTGTGCTCTGCCCATCAAGGGTATCGAAACCCGGTTTCTACCGCTGTAAGTCCACAGACATACTGCTGTGCCACTGGGGGGGGGGGGGCATGTTCCTCACATTTACTACTTTTTTGCGTTTAATAATATACGTTCCTCTAATTAACGACTATTTTATTTTAATTAGGTATGTTATTCTGATTAACGATTCTTTGAGTTTCATCGGGTAAGTTGTTCTAATCATTAACGACTTTTTTGAGTTTCATATTATTAACGCCTTTTTAAGTTTCATGGGTATATTGTTCTAATTTTAACGACTTTTTTGAGTTTCATAGGGTATATTGTTCTAATTTTAACGACTTTTTGAGTTTTATTAGATATTTTGCTCTAATAAGTCAGCAACATTTTCAGTTTCATGGGGTATGTTGCTCTAATTAACTAATTTTTGAGCTTCATTAGGTATGTTTCTCGAATTAACGACTTTTCGAGTTGGAATGAAATTAAATGTAAATAATTAAATATATTATTTTCACCGTTCTATTCCACATAAAAAAGTTGAATCATTAAATAACAATAATTAAATAATTATTAAATAACAATAATCAAATAACAATAATTAAATTTATTAAATAACAATAATCAAATAACAATAATTAAATAATTATTAAATAACAATAATCAGATAACAATAATTAAATAATTATTAAATAACAATAATCAAATAACAATAATTAAATAATTATTAAATAACAATAATCAAATAACAATAATTAAATAATTGTTAAATAACAATAATTAAATAATTGTTAAATAACAATAATTAAATAATTATTAAATAACAATAATTAAATAATTATTAAGAAAAACAAATAAGCAGAAGAGAAACTGAAATTATTAAATAACAATAATTAAATAATTATTAAGAAAAACAAATAAGCAGAAGAGAAACTGAAATTATTAAATAACAATAATTAAATAATTATTAAGAAAAACAAATAAGCAGAAGAGAAACTGAAATTATTAAATAACAATAATTAAATAATTATTAAGAAAACAAATAAGCAGAAGAGAAACTGACTTTTTAAACAGTTTTTTTTTCGGGGGGGGGGGGCTCATCGTTTCTTCAGTTTCCAACTAATAAACGGAAAATATGCCAATAATATACGACTTTACTTACATTGTTGCTGCGTTTCTCCTGGGGTTCATATGCGCCCCAGAACCCTTTTGAATCAAGTACGTGTCTATCACGATCTCTTCGTTCCAACACGTCGTCATCATCGAAATATCTTTTAACATCACCATTGTATTTTCGGAAAATTCTGTCTAATAAACCTTCCCTTTCGTCAGCTTTAAAATCTATGAAACAAAAGGTATTCATTGTAATAACTTTAAACAATTATCATTAAATTCTGCTAATGGGTTTAAAAATTAAATGTTGATAACAAAGACAATTGATTACTGAGACTTTACTGGCGGTCCATAACTTGTTTTTTTTTTTTAACTTCTTTGAATTAAGTGCATTTTGTTAATTATACAACATAATATAGCATCTTAATAATTTTTCTACTAATTTCTTGATTAAATACAGTCCGAATTTTTTACGAACAGAATCGGAAATTCGAGACAATTTGCCAGTCACTTTAGGCTTAGAATACGGTATTACTGAGGTGTCTAGTATTAAATTATTGAACCTGGTACATATTTCAAGGATTTCTGTGTGGCAGATGTTTCGCGGAGAGATCTCTACAGGCACTCAATTTGTCTTCGCTTGGTTCCTGTTTAGATTTGCTAAACCCCTAAGAAACTCATTAGAACTTTATAAAAGAATGAAAGTTGAACGCCATTTTTAATTCAGAGAATTCACTAACGTATTGATTTCTTGATACGAGAGCTTTCGAAGTAAGATCTTCTGAACACAATGTAGAAATTACTTATCCAATCAGTTCATTACAATTCGTTATACGTCACGTCAAACGTGTTCTCAACATAAAGTTTAGGGCACTCGACTCCTAATCTGAGGTTCGCGGGTTCGAATCCCCGTCACCGAACCTGCTCGTTCTTTCAGCCTTGGAGGCATATATG